GGGTGAAACTGAATTCTTTAGCATATTTTTTTAACTGCCAGCCTTTCAGAAGCTTTCTCACACCATGCCACCTAGCCTATAAATAGTCTCTATAGTAGAGTATTTTTTTGAGGTACAACTGATTTTGGGGAATCATTTCCTTGGAGGTGAAAATGAATTTTTTTAGCACATTTTTTATCTGCTAGCCTTTCAGAAGCTTTCTCACACCATGCCACCCAGCCTATAAATTGTCTCTGTAATAGGGTATTTTTTTGAGGTACAACTGATTTTGGGAAATCGTTTCCTTGGGGGTGAAAATTAATTCTTTTAGAATATTTTTATCTGCCAGCCTTTCAGAAGCTTTCTCACACCATGCCACCTAGCCTATAAATAGTCTCTATAATAGAGTATTTTTTTGAGGTACAACTGATTTTGGGGAATAATTTCCTTGAGGATGAAAATGAATTTTTTTATCATGTTTTTTATCTGCCAGCCTTTCAGAAGCTTTCTCACACTATGCCACCCAGCCTATAAATCGTCTCTATAATAGAGTATTTTTTTGAGGTACAACTGATTTTGGGGAATCATTTCCTTGGGGGTGAAAATTAATTTTTTTAGCATATTTTTTATCTGCCAGCCTTTCAGAAGCTTTCTCACACCATGCCACCCAGCCTATAAATTGTCTCTATAATAGAGTATTTTTTTGAGGTACAACTAATTTTGGGGAATCATTTCCTTGGGGGTGAAAACGAATTTTTTTAGCATATTTTTTATCTGCCAGCCTTTCAGAAGCTTTCTCACATCATGCCACCCAGCCTATAAATTGTCTCTATAACAGAGTATTTTTTGAGGTACAACTGATTTTGGGAAATCATTTCCTTGGGGGTGTTAATTAATTTTTTTAGTATATTTTTTATCTGCCAGCCTTTCAGAAGCTTTCTCACACCATGCCACCTAGCCTATAAATAGTCTCTATAGTAGAGTATTTTTCTGAAGTACAACTGATTTTGGGGAATCATTTCCTTGAGGATGAAAATGAATTTTTTTAGCATGTTTTTTATCTGCCAGCCTTTCAGAACCTTTCTCACACCATGCCACCCAGCCTATAAATCGTCTCTATAATAGAGTATTTTTTTGAGGTACAACTGATTTTGGGGAATCATTTCCTTGGGGGTGAAAATGAATTTTTAGCATATTTTTTTATCTGCCAGCCTTTCAGAAGCTTTCTCACACCATGCCACCCAGCCTATAAATAGTCTCTATAATAGAGTATCTTTTTGAGATACAACTGATTTTGGGGAATAATTTCCTTGAGGATGAAAATGAATTTTTTTAGCATGTTTTTTATCTGCCAGCCTTTCAGAAGCTTTCTCACTCCATGCCACCCAGCCTATAAATCGTCTCTATAATAGAGTATTTTTTTGAGGTACAACTGATTTTGGGGAATCATTTCCTTGGGGGTGAAAATGAATTTTTTTGCATATTTTTTTATCTGTCAGCCTTTCAGAAGCTTTCTCACACCATGCCACCCAGCCTATAAATAGTCTCTATAATAAAGTATTTTTTTGAGGTACAACTGATTTTGGGGAATAATTTCCTTGAGGATAAAAATGAATTTTTTTAGCATGTTTTTTATCTGCCAGCCTTTCAGAAGCTTTCTCACTCCATGCCACCCAGCCTATAAATCGTCTCTATAATAGAGTATTTTTTTGAGGTACACCTGATTTTGGGGAATCATTTCCTTGGGGGTGAAAATGATTTTTTTAGCATATTTTTTTATCTGCCAGCCTTTCAGAAGCTTTCTCACACCATGCCACCTAGCCTATAAATAGTCTCTATAATAGAGTATTTTTTTGAGGTACAACTGATTTTGGGGAATCATTTCCTTGGGGGTGAAAATGAATTTTTTTAGCATATTTTTTATCTGCCAGCCTTTCAGAAGCTTTCTCACACTATGCCACCCAGCCTATAAATTGTCTCTATAATAGAGTATTTTTTTGAGGTACAACTGATTTTGGGAAATCATTTCCTTGGGGGTGTTAATTAATTTTTTTAGTATATTTTTTATCTGCCAGCCTTTCAGAAGCTTTCTCACACCATGCCACCTAGCCTATAAATAGTCTCTATAGTAGAGTATTTTTCTGAAGTACAACTGATTTTGGGGAATCATTTCCTTGAGGATGAAAATGAATTTTTTTAGCATGTTTTTTATCTGCCAGCCTTTCAGAACCTTTCTCACACCATGCCACCCAGCCTATAAATCGTCTCTATAATAGAGTATTTTTTTGAGGTACAACTGATTTTGGGGAATCATTTCCTTGGGGGTGAAAATGAATTTTTTAGCATATTTTTTTATCTGCCAGCCTTTCAGAAGCTTTCTCACACCATGCCACCCAGCCTATAAATAGTCTCTATAATAGAGTATCTTTTTGAGATACAACTGATTTTGGGGAATAATTTCCTTGAGGATGAAAATGAATTTTTTTAGCATGTTTTTTATCTGCCAGCCTTTCAGAAGCTTTCTCACTCCATGCCACCCAGCCTATAAATCGTCTCTATAATAGAGTATTTTTTTGAGGTACAACTGATTTTGGGGAATCATTTCCTTGGGGGTGAAAATGAATTTTTTTGCATATTTTTTTATCTGTCAGCCTTTCAGAAGCTTTCTCACACCATGCCACCCAGCCTATAAATAGTCTCTATAATAAAGTATTTTTTTGAGGTACAACTGATTTTGGGGAATAATTTCCTTGAGGATAAAAATGAATTTTTTTAGCATGTTTTTTATCTGCCAGCCTTTCAGAAGCTTTCTCACTCCATGCCACCCAGCCTATAAATCGTCTCTATAATAGAGTATTTTTTTGAGGTACACCTGATTTTGGGGAATCATTTCCTTGGGGGTGAAAATGATTTTTTTAGCATATTTTTTTATCTGCCAGCCTTTCAGAAGCTTTCTCACACCATGCCACCTAGCCTATAAATAGTCTCTATAATAGAGTATTTTTTTGAGGTACAACTGATTTTGGGGAATCATTTCCTTGGGGGTGAAAATGAATTTTTTTAGCATATTTTTTATCTGCCAGCCTTTCAGAAGCTTTCTCACACTATGCCACCCAGCCTATAAATTGTCTCTATAATAGAGTATTTTTTTGAGGTACAACTGATTTTGGGGAATCATTTCCTTGGGGGTGAAAATGAATTTTTAGCATATTTTTTTATCTGCCAGCCTTTCAGAAGCTTTCTCACGCCATGCCACCCAGCCTATAAATCGTCTCTATAATAGAGGTACAACTGATTTTGGGGAATCATTTCCTTGGGGGTGAAAATGAATTTTTTGCATATTATTTTATCTGCCAGCCTTTCAGAAGCTTTCTCACACCATGCCACCCAGCCTATAAATTGTCTCTATAATAGAGTATTTTTTTGAGGTACAACTGATTTTGGGAAATCATTTCCTTGGGGGTGAAAATTAATTTTTTCAGAATATATTTTATCTGCCAGCTTTTCAGAAGCTTTCTCATACCATGCCACCTAGCCTATAAATCGTCTCTATAATAGAGTATTTTTTTGAGGTACAACTGATTTTGGGGAATCATTTCCTTGGGGGTGAAAATTAATTTTTTTAGCATATTTTTTTAACTGCCAGCCTTTCAGAAGTTTTCTCACACCGTGCCACCCAGCCTATAAATAGTCTCTATAATAGAGTATTTTTTTGAGGTACAACTGATTTTGGGGAATCATTTCCTTGGGGGTGAAAATGATTTTTTTAGCATATTTTTTTTAACTGCCAGCATTTCAGAAGCTTTCTCACACCATGCCACCCAGCCTATAAATAGTCTCTATGATAGAGTATTTTTTTGAGGTACAACTGATTTTGGGGAATCATTTCCTTGGGGGTGAAAATGAATTTTTTAGCATATTTTTTTATCTGCCAGCCTTTTAGAAGCTTTCTCACACCATGCCACCCAGCCTATAAATTGTCTCTATAATGGAGTATTTTTTGAGGTACAACTGATTTTGGGAATCATTTCCTTGTGGGTGAAAATGAATTTTTTAGCATATTTTTTATCTGCCAGCCTTTCGGAAGCTTTCTCACACCATGCCACCTAGCCTATAAATTGTCTCTATAATAGAGTATTTTTGAGGCACAAGTGATTTTGTGGAATCATTTCCTTGGGGGTGAAAATGAATTTTTTTGCATATTTTTTTATCTGCCAGCCTTTCAGACGCTTTCTCACATCATGCCACCCAGCCATAAATTGTCTCTATAATAGAGTATTTTTTTGAGGCACAACTGATTTTGGGGAATCATTTCCTTGGGGGTGAAAATGAACTTTTTAGCATATTTTTTTATCTGCCAGCCTTTCAGAAGCTTTCTCACACCATACTACCTAGCCCATGAATTGTTTCTGTATCAGAGTATTTTTTTGAGATATAAAACATTTTGGGGAATCATTTTTTTGGGGTTGAAAATAAAGTTTTATTTATATTTTTTCATCTAGCCCCCCTTTAGAGATTTTCTCAGTATATGCTATTAATTATTTTCAATACAGTAATCGGTAAGTGAACATTCGAGGGAAGGTTTTGGGTTAACTCTTGTTCCTGCGAATTATTTAATTATGGTGGAAAATTATTTTTCCTATAGGGGTGCTTATTCTCGTGCATATATATTTATTGTTGCGAGCTGTTAGCTGTATCCTTCACAATCACAGTCTGGTCGAGGATGTCGACACCACTGGTCATTCGGGTATCTTCGGCAAATTGTCCGCTAAATTTTGTCTGCCACACCGGTGCTGACCTCGTGGTCCTAACTCCTTTTTCTCCTTCTGGGCTGGATCGTGCCACTAGTTGGGTGCCAAAAATGCGATGGACGTGGTTAATAAAATTCACTAAATAATCCACTACATATATTCACCGACAACAAACAGTTTTTACAAGACGTTGGCCGCAGCGGCGCAAGAGCGTTTCCTCTTCTTGAGTGTCTAGGGCCGCCCTAGTAGGGCAAACAGCCTCCGCAACTCCTACAATGTTGCCGTTGTGAGCAAACTATCCACGAAACTGTTCACTGCACGCGCGGGAAGTTCACATGGTCGGAACACTGAACCATCACACAGTGAAGGTAGGGTGAATTGTTGTTTGTGATATGGATATGATATGGAAGCAGCATATTTCTTATCACGGTTTTTATAATCCTCGCAAGAGAAATCCCAAATATATTTTTCTTCTTGTATTGCAGCTATTAATAGTTCGGTATCAATATAAATGTTATTGCTTTTCCTATCACTCATTTTATACACTTTCGGCAAATACCAACACACACCAATAAACAAACCAAACCAGGAAAACACTGCAACACCTCTCGCCGACCATCAGCTTGCATGTGAAATATACCAAATTTACAATGGCGTTACCTACCTCGTGCTGATGATGAGCATCAGCTCGGGCTCAGTTGACGCCCGACGGATGATACGTGCCGAACGGATCATACGCAAGGCATGTGAAATTAGTTGTTCAATTGACTTACCTTAAGGAAAATTGAACCATATTATATGAGTATTGCCGTTCGAAGAATTACAAAGTAACCACTTGTAGTAGCAATTTTTCCCGCTCGCACCAGCACGAAGTTTAAAGCAAAAATATGCTCCCCGCCCCTGCCCATACCCGGCATAGACCGGTACCTGATCACCTCTACCAAGACTCGTCACTGCAATTTACGCAGCTAATCCCGTTCGGAACAGTGGGAGGGATGAAAAACAATGGGTGGGTTTGTAATTCTTCGAACGGCAATACTCATATAATATGGTTCAATTTTCCTTAAGGTAAGTCAATTGAACAACTAATTATATTTCGTATTGCCGTTCTCGAATTACAAAGTAACCACTTGTAGATGTTCAAAGAAGAGTCCGAATCGGGATCATGGCACTATATTTATTTCGTAAAGATCTAATAGAGGAATCTAAACAAAACAATTCAATAATACAAATTATTATATTATGAACAGTTCACTACTCTCTCTCCAAAAGTAGTATAGAATTTGATCAAACTCTATTAATCCATAAAAAAAATATATTAAACTGAGCTTAAACTCAAGATACCTTTAGCAAAGGCCGTAACATTACTACAAAGAGGGCGATTATAAAACTAAGCAAACATTTCTGATTTTTGCGTCCAACCAGCCCTCTCTCTTATCATTTCAATAGAGACTCCAGCTGTATAGCTGATGTAGCTGCATGCCTAGTGCTATAACTAGAAAATATCGAGGTATCAATACCGCCTGCTTGAAGGGTCAGTTTGATCCATTTACTCAATCTCTGTGTAGAGACTGGGCGCATAGGTCTCTTAACTGTTAAAATAAGAAAATCAGTATCAAGTGGGCGTATGCCTCTGGTTTTTATTTCATAGAAATCGATAGTTGAGGCTAAATAAAGGCTTGGGTTTTCCCGAAAATATGGGATCACTAAAAGGGGTTGAAGACCCTTGGAAGATGAAGTTTTGATTCGATCCGTAATGTTAATTTCTATTCTATCAGTATGGCGAACTATATTTTGTAATCGTATATAAGTGAACGTTTGTAATCGATGGCCAGTAATTAAAGCTAACAAAGTAACTAACTTCATAGTCAATTGCATAACAGATATTTCTGTTAAGGGATACAAGGTAGATAAGTACTCTAAAACTGGTTGAGGGTCCCAAGTTGATTGGTACTTGGGTCTTGACGGTCTCTGATTGAAAATTCCTTTCAGAAACCGTTTTAGAATAGTTTTATCTGAGCTATTTATCTCAAAAATCAAAGCTAATGTCGCGTACTGTGAGTTAAGTGTTGAGTAGGAACAAGTGTTTTGAAATTGATCACTCAAAAAATTAATGACTGCGTCTAATGAATACAAAAAGGAATATAGCCTTTGCTTATGCAAAATTGCCACCACTTTTTTTAATTTCGATGAATACTGTCCCAAGGTAGATGGACTAAGCGATGCCTTGATTGCTTGGAGCCCGTTTGCTGGCACTCCTCGTTTGAGAAAAGCTTCCCCGATAAACTCCCAGCCTCCAGGGAAAGTGTTCTCCACAGTGGATGGCATCCCCTAGAAGGGGAAGGGAGAAGGGCTTTATTAGGCGAAAAGATTATAGATCTTCCTGTCAATAATTTATGGAAAACGGAATACCACGGTTGAGTTGTCCAATTAGGAACCACAAGAATTCCACAAGCTTGTTCAGCAATAATTTTTTGTAGGCATTTTATGAGTGAGAAAGGAGGAAATGCATAAAAAAAACTCTTTTCTCCAAGACACTGTAAATGCATCAACTGTAAAGGAACTAGAATCTGGTTTCCAAGAAATATACCTAGGAACTTTGGCATTTAACTGTGTCGCAAATAAATCCACAGTCGGTTTCCCGAAACTAGAACAAATTTCTCGAAAAGCCAAACTCGATAACTCATATTCTAGGTGAATTATCTGTTGTATTTATATATGAAGCTACTATGAAAATTTGTCTATTCTCACACCATTCCCAAATCTGGCGTGTGATGTTATTAAGGTGCTTATATCTTACACTACCCATATGATTTATGCAAGCTATAGCCGTTACATTGTCGATTCTAAGAAGAATTGAACAAGAAGATATATTGGAGGCAAAGGATTTAAGTGCATTAAATGCGGCTAGTAACTCCAAATAGTAATGTGTCTGTTAGCATCGTCCCCATTACAAAAACCGTTAGTACCTCTATTCTGACAAAAGGCACCCCAACCAGTTAATGAAGCATCTGAGAAAATCTCAAGTATGAATTTCCTATCTGTAACAATAGCTACACCCTCATTATTTATAAGAGTGTGATGCCACCAACATATTTCTGATCGCATTATTTCTGAAATTATTACCGAGGTATTGAAATTTTGCTCTTGTCTTTTTAATGTTACATATTTAACTCGTTCTAAAATCTTAAGGTGCATCCAACCATATTGTACAGTCGGGCAAACGGAAACTAGTTTTCCTATTAACTGAGCTAAAACTAAAACAGAACACCGATTGCGGCGAAGAAAAGTCTCTACTAGTTCCATCATGTTTTTCACTTTTTCTGTTGGTAAGGACACCCTTAAATTTGTGGAATCAAAAACAAAACCTAAAAAGGTACATTGTTTGGCTGGGATCATAGAGCTTTTATCGTAATTTACTAAGAATCCTAAATATTCTAAAATATCCTTAGCAATTTGACAGTCTTGCTCAGCTGTTTGTATTGACTTACTGATAATTAATAAGTCATCTAAATACAGTACACAAATTATACCTCTAGTCCTTAAATATTTAAGGATTGGTTTCATAATTTTTGTAAAGACCCATGGGGCTGTACAAAGACCAAAAGGTAAACAATTAAAATGGTAATATACACCTTGAAATTTAAAAGTGAGGTATTTACTGAATGTCTGATGCACCGGTATCATAAAACAGGCATCTTTTAAATCTATTTTAGTGAAGAAACAGTCATTATAAACTAATTTGAAGACAGTCCTGACATCTTCCAATTTAAAGTGGGGTGGTTCTAAAAATTCGTGTAATTCCTTTAAATTTAGAATAAACCTGAATGCCCCACAAGGTTTCGGTATTAAGAAAAATGAGGAAAAAAACTGGCCAGGTTTTGAGGTAGTTTTGGATACTGCTCCTATGTTTATCAAAAGTCTTATGCTATCCTTTCATTTATCTGATTCCTGCAGCGTAAAAGCAGGTCTAGGTAAACGCCTTTACTTAGGCTTCTTAACAAAAGGCATTTTATATCCAGATAACCACGAAATAATAGTAGAATCTTGTGTAATGTTTACCCACTTATTTACATATGCAGATAAGCGACCCGCATACATATCGCAAATAGTATGTACCTTGTCTACTGCTTCCGGTATGACCTTGCTGAACGAAACCTCTCCTCCTCCTTTTTCATGCGAGATTTGTGTTGCTGGCGCCGGGAGTTTAAAGACGACGGGACCCTCGACGGACCTGGCTTGGGCTCCAATTTCTTATAGACGACTGGTTTGGAAGATGCTGATCCTAGTGCTTTTTCCTTCTTCTTGATTGAAAAGCCTAATCGTTGAGCTTCACTTGCGGATTTCCATTGGTCCGGGAATGTTTTTCCAAATAAAAATTCATCAATTGGGCAAGTATCAGAAAATTTGCGAACGTTGCCATCCAAAAATGGTAGAATGGAATAACGACGATGAAGAGAAATCGCGTGAAAAACATCTGCGATTTCGTTATTTCATATTGCTTATCGAAGCCGACGGCCAGTGCACTTATCCCAGATGCTAACTGTAATTGAAGTTTACTGAGGAATGTATCCTCTTTAACTACATTTGTACTTAAACAAGATCGAACCTCTGGGTTAATCACTGGAGGCTGAAGGGCTGAACAGTTTGCCAAACAGGGATAAGATTCCAGAGTAGTTTTGCGAGATTCTTTATCAATTCCCTTGAGTAAAAACTCAGATATCAGGGCTGCTACGTCTGTACTGACCTCTGGTCCTTTTATAGCAGATGCTTGATTACCCAGGAATTGTAGTATATTTTGTACACCCTGATCCTGGGATGAGCCAGGCTCCGGGACTTGCGTTGGATGCTTTGATAAGGGCGCATCTGAATCCGAGTCCGTCCCTGTACTCTCCAACGACGAGACGCCTGACTCGCCTAAAAAACATTTTCACATGTTTATAAACACTATCCGGCAGCTTTGTTTTGAAAGAGTTACATACTATGTATTCCATACCAATATGCCAATAACATTGCCAACAGTAATTCATGTGAATACTGTAAGTCAGTCAAGAAGTCGCCATTCGGTGCATAGCACATGTGTACATACGCATACCCGAGATGTATTTTGAAAACAATCAACTATTCATGCCAGTAATTCATGTGAATACTGTATATCAAGAAGTGTTTAATCGGTACATAGTACATGTGTACATGTATATCCGAGGGGCACATTGAAATTAATCAACCATTTTAATTAATACTAGTAATTCATGTGAATACTGAATATCAATAATAAACAGGAACCTGATAGGCACATAGCACATGTGTACTTATGTTTTCATTGAATGAATTGGGGCTAAAACAGAAGGGAACAATTAATTACAATATACTTACTAGAACTATCTAAAAGTTGCAGCAATTTGTGTAATTTTTTTCTGTGTTTACGCGTCACTTTCTTTGTTACGCGACCCATCTTTCTCTCCGTCCTGCTGCGAGCGCACGAAAAATTGCAGTGACGAGTCTTGGTAGAGGTGATCAGGTACCGGTCTATGCCG